CCCCCACCCCCCCACCCCCCCCCCCCCCCCCCCCCCCCCCCCCCCCCCCCCCCCCCCCCCCCCCCCCCCCCCCCCCCCCCCCCCCCCCCCCCCCCCCACCCACACCCACACCCACACCCACACCCACACCCACACCCACACCCACACCCACACCTCACCCTTGTTTGCATGCCAAACTGTTTCTGGATAAACGAAAAGGGCGTGGGAGTGGTTTCCTTTTGTTATTCAACGGCATTCGCACTCACATTCACACCAACCCACACACATAACATCCATCGAAAAATTTATCTAAACAAGCTTTATTCTTATTTATAAAGATTGCTTATGTGCCTTTCATAAGATTCAATAAGAAAAGGTAATCAATCAAAATTTGATTATTGATGGACTCGTGAATTCTAATAAACAACTAGAGCGATTGATAGTCTGTGCACTCAGTATATCCCTTTAGCGGCAAAAAATTGTATTGATTGATTTAAGACTTCAGTAACTCGTGTATTCGAGATCCATGAACATAGAATCGAGCAAGAGGATCTTCCATAGTGTTCATGTTCGATACACTCCATAATTTTTCAGCTACCACCGCTGCTCGGGGCCAAAAACGTTTCAAGCTATTAGTTGCATCAACTGATTTTTCATCAAGGATTGCTTCACCACCAATTAGCCTTTCTCGAATAGTCTCATTACCTAAAAATAAAAGGAGAATGTTTATTCTAGAGAACAAGCAAAATCGAATGTACCAATAAAATCGGTAAATAAATCAATATTGTACCATTTGTAAAATTCAGAATCGATGATTGAATCTGATGCACTCCATTTTCTGTAGGAGAGCCTAAAAAGAAAAAAAGCTAAAGCTATTCTTGCTTCAAGAGGAGACCGAATTTTTCCTACATGCTAAGGTTGAATGGAGCGGCAAGAATAACCTCATATCCTTCATGAATTGCTTTTGATAAGTAAGTAGACCACGATTGAGCTTCAGACACCAATGAAGTATTCTTCCAAATCTCGATAACTACTTCCGGTGGTAATTTGACACCAGCATCCCAGACGTCTTGCCAGACCATTGCTTTAACTTCAAGTTTCCTGGTAATCTCAAGCATTTTACTCAAATGATACGCCATCAGATCGGTACCATCGGTCATATTAGTCTTATTCATGAACTCTTGAATGTCAATAGTTGACATACTACGCAAAAAAGTATGATGGAACTCAAGATCAAAGTGAAATCAAAACTTATACCAATCTTTGGAATAGATTCTATTCATGCCAAGGTGAATATAAGATTCGTTCTGGAACTTTTGATTAATTTCTTTGAGAATTATTTCTAAGAATGAATAGGCTTTTTCTTTTGTTGGATCGAGTAGTACACGTTGTTCATAATTATCTTTTTTATGCGTCAATTCCGAATCACAATCGATTGAAAACTCTGTGAAGAAGGAAAATATTCGCAATATACCAAGGTAAAATAGTTCCAACCTGGAAATACTTGACTGAGAGCTCCAACATAACCGGGAGTATTCAATTCAGGGACGATACGAATGCCTCGAATACGAGCATATTCGATAATTTCTTTTACATGTTCAGGTGTGTAAACATAATCCGTCCAAGGAACATCCTAAATATCACATAAATAATGACGATAACTATGGAAATAAAAATGAATTGAACTTGTGTCAAATTTGAATATTGTTCGGATTCCAACGTCCAGTATTGATCACCAGCAAGACGCCAATGAAGTACATTGAATTTGTTGTACGCCATCATATCCTAATAATAAAATACAAGAGATTCAGAAATACAGTTTACTGTTGAAGAGTTTTACAATCGAATTTTTCTAAAAAAAATCCAATACTAAAAGTTTCATCTTTCCTGGTTTCAATATTCATTATTATCATACTCCGGTAAACGAAGACTAACGATAGTTAGTCTAACTTAAATTCGAATTTCATTGTCCGATTCTGACACTGAGCCATGACACATAGAATTCAATGTGCGATTTACGAAAAGAAATATCCATGTAGTTAACAATCAAATGTGTAAAGTGACAGGTGACTCAAATCAGAAATCTTGGGGTAAAATTGCACTTCTCTGAAAAATGAAGACGATATGAAAATTGTCTTCTAATGAGTTTTCGGTTTTTAATATTCAGATTAGAATCAAACTGTTTCGACACATACCAAATGTTGTTTTATCACTGTAACTGTTAGAAAACGACGGTCAGTATCCAGGAGAATACCACGATGTGGAAAACGAGGTTCATCTTCAATGACAATCGATGCGTTGATAGCAACCTAATTTTCAACAATAGAAAAACAAAATCATTTTAATGTAATAAAACACTACCTGATTCCTATCTGTAATAAAAAGCAACTGAGAAAATGTCACCAGACCATTCAATACGCCCCAGATAGTTTTTGCTTTGATTGTGCCATTGGTTTGTTCGATTGTTAGGTTATCTAATGGAAATCGATGCAGAATACGTTGTTAGACAGGTGAAAAAAACATGGTACATACATGATTCGTCGCCATGTATTGTCGGATAGCTTTCGCATATTTCCGATATAACTTCAAGATTGAGTACTGCAAGGACTTTTTGTTCGTCTGTGTTATCTGGCAGTGGATCATGGTTTAACATTATTGATTGAAACTTGTTTCTATAATTTTCAATAGCTTGTTCAATAATTTCGCACTTTCCTAAAGTTGAATTAATACTAAAATTAAGATTGACATAAACAAAATTCATGCTAATGTTTTTGTATCGAGGTTCTGGCCAGAGAGTATTTGGTGCCGGTATTTTGAACTAAAATTTGTTGAAAATAAGAAGAGAAACGGTGGTAAAAACATAAATCAGTTGTGAAATAGACTTTCTTTTAAAACTCACAATTCTCGTTTAAAACATAATTTTATTCCTCGTTCACAGGATGAATTTCTTGGCCATTGAAAACTAACATTATCTACCCTACGAAAAATATGTCGTGCTACATATAATCGCTCTTCGATTTCATTCTTATAGTTGTTCTTCAAGGCAGATAGATACTAAGCTACACCAGAAGCTTTCTAAGTGCTCCGAATGCATTGTACTTTTCTCCGTCTTCTGTTAACATGTAGTGGCTTTCAAAAACTTCCATCTATTGTGAAAGAAAAACTACACTTTTGCGTATTAGAGACAAAATCATCCGAATCAAACTATCAAAAGCAATAAATTCCGCAGTATTGCGACGATTTTCTTTCAGACAACAAATACCGAATCCATAGCTTTGCCGAGCAATAAATATTACTAAAGGACGATGGGTATGGATGTCAACCAATCTTTAATCATCATATACACACGCACATACTACAAGGTCGACTTTTGAACAAATTAATCATTTCAATTTACCGTTTTTATTGGCTGTATTGATTGATTCGTTTCTTTGTGACCTGGATCTTGAAATGGTTTGGATGAGTGTTCAATCCGATATAGTTGTAAAAAGAATGCAATAAGTCCAAAAATAATGACGAATGAAATGAATCGAGCTGTCGCATTCATTCTCGAAACAATCGTTGGCATCATAGATAAATACCTGTAAAAGAAGATTGTAGTAAAAATATTTACCGATTTTTGAACCGTGCAAAGTAATATATGACACACTAGGAAAGACTTCTCATGCTAATGTTCCTTTTTTAGTTACGGAATAAAAATGATTTTCTCACGAAATTTTCATAGTAGTCTCCTATGTTAATTCTTGTCGTTAAAGAAAGATGTAATAAAACGAGCTGATACTACACTCAGAAGAATCCTAATAAATTCGTAATACTCATACGGGTGTAACCAATGTTACGTACAAAACTACTAAATCAGATGACGAACAAGCCTATAGTAGTTCAAGATTTTGTTTGAATTAATGCTTTCGTAAAAAAAAATGTTTGTGAACGATTTTTTCTTCAAAAGTGAATATCAATCATGTTGTCTTGTTTCTAGAGAGTAACGGGTCCATGTTTTTATGGACCCGGACTCGGACCCGGACCCGGGTGGCATTAATTTTCCAGACCCGGACCCAGAGCCGGGCTTGACATATACGGACCCGGACCCGGTCGGGTTCAGACCCGCTAGGTGTTTCGCCAATATCTAGCACCGTCTGTATATATGAACAAGTGAAGACTCATGGCTTTAGCTAATTATTGGCTATTCTCAGAGGAAAAGTTTATGTACAGGTATTTCCTGTTGTTCACTTGTTCATCATGCAACGTGATGCTTAATAATTAAAATTTTATTGCTTAACTGAAAAAAGAACATTATGCTAACCGAAAAGGAAATTAAAGAATTAATTGATAATCAAAACTGATCATTGCAAATTCTCAAACCAACAGTAACTTATTAATATTCGTCTACTTTTTTTTCATTTTTCTTGTTTTTTCAACTTCATTTGTTATTTGTATTTAAAATGACTTTTCAATTAAAAAATTAAAAATAGCCAAGAAATTTTGAAACAGAATACAGAAAATATTATACGTTGATCTGAACTCTCCAGTACTTAGATTCGCAGTTGAATGAAAACCGGGTCTGAAAATAAATCACATATGGGCTCGGACCCAGACCCGGACCCGGGTGATATCAAATTTCTAGACCCGGACTCGGGTGGCATTAATTTTCTGGACCGGGACCCGGACCCGATACTCTCTACTTGTTTCACAGCATTCTTATCGTTCGAAAATGATAGAAACAATATCTGACTTCAATATTCCATAGGATTCACAATGTATTTTGATAGTGCAGGTAAATTTTCGAAACTTCAATCTTTCCAGGAACGATTTTCGGTTTCGCTCCACCAGTTAATCCACATTTTTTATACTACACTAATCACTGATTGATTTATAATGCCGAGATTATCACCTTTGCACATCGTTTCGAATATAAAACCAACTATTATGATAAATGACTTGAGCGATAACAAGAAAATAATCAAATTAAAGAGTGGCATTTTTCATGTGATAATTCTTGTTTCATTACACTAAATGAGATCCAACTGCAAATGCTCATTTTGAGGATTTGAATAAGATTATAAACGAGGTTGAAGTAGACAAAACAATTATGGTTAGAGCAGTTTACAAATAAAATGGTAAGATGAAAAATACATTTGAAAAATAAGATACTTCTTTTCGAATTGTTTTCAGAATTATTATTTCAAAAATTCCAAAAATTGTAATATCTGACGAACAATGCTTAGTTATCTTAGATAATTACCTGAGATTGCTTCTGAAACTTGAGATAAGCGAAGAACGTTCTTTTGGCGATTGAATATTAAATGATTCGATGCCAGGATTACGTTCGATAAATTCTAAAAATCTTCGTCGATCTTTGCAGACTGATTTAAATTGATCAAGAATCGCTCCTTCATTCGCTCGATCCCAGTCAACTGGATTCAATGCTCCTGTGAAGTGGATTCGTCGATCGAACCAATGCATTACACGAGAAAATTTATAATCTTTATTAGAATCTTCTGTTATGTTAGCTCTAGATTCTTCATCCTTCGATTCACATCGAGTCAAAATAAAACTTAAATAAGGCTTGATTCTCTCTTCACCGAAATGTTTAATGAGTCGTTCGAACAATTCTATATCGGTTTCTAAAATGCCACTTTCAAATGAAGCACAAACACAGACACGATTAAACTGAGTAACACCCAGCTTAGTACACGCTTCATCGATCTGAGTCATATTCTGTTCGTTATTGAGCATAGCACCAGGAATTTCAACAATGTTCACTGTGATATGTGTAGACGTATAGCATTCTATTGATGTCACAGTTGGAGATTGATTTTCTGATGAACCCACTTTCGCATATGGTGGTATGTAGAATGGATCTTTGAGTACATTTGCCAACGTTGTCTTGCCACTTTTTGTAGGGCCAAGCAAAAGGATGCTTCTTTTTATGGGTGGATTAGTCGATGCTAATTGTCTACGTGGTTTTTCGAACTGATTAAATTGATCCTTAAGTTCTTCTTTAATATTCTGTTGCTTCAGCTGAATACTAGGTGATGAATGCGACATCTGAAACTAAAGAATTATGAGACAAAAAAACTGTCGATTACACATTATTATACGAATAGCATTGTATTCGGATTACTCATTTAATGTTCTAAAGCTACAATGTTATAAGATAATAATCAAGTGAACCAACTTATTATTACAGAAAAAGTTTATACTCATATTCAACTTTGTATTCTTATTTGATGTTAATAATGAGTTCATCTTTTATGAATATTATCATTTTTTTCTAAGAAGCAACCATCCTGCTGCAATAATCACAAATATCACTGCAACGATAATGCTCCAGGGCCAGCTCAAGTTCCATGAATTGCTTCTAAATTTGATAGAGAAAAGAATGTTAGTAGGGTAATGTATCTTTTCAATTATAAAGAGTTGAATTAATCTAATCTCTATTGTGTTTGACCCGAAACAAAAAAAGTGCTAAGTGTGGTTGTGGGCTATAGGTGTGAGTTCGGCTCTCTTGATCGAAGACACGCCTACAGTACCGTCGTAATTTCGAACGAAATGACTGTGTTTCCTATGTTACCCATACCTAACTGTTTGTTTTCCTATATTTATTTGTGGAAAAAATCTCAGTTACAAGGCACTTTACTGTCAATGCCTATTTCATGAAAAGATGAAGTATACAACAAAACTTTGTTCAAGTTTTGTCAAATTCAATTATTTGAAACGGAGCACTCATGGCCGAAAAAAAACAGCGCGATAGATATCTATGTTAATCTTCAGCAATCGAAATTATACAGCTGTAACAGCCGTGTTTCAGTTTGGAATACAGTATGACTACTAAGCTTTCATTCTTGGTTCTCAACATGCACTCGCCTGTGTCCTTACTTCTATTCTCTGTAGTACGCTCCTCGTATATAAACAAGTGTATGCTTTACATATATTAGTTACAGTTTATGATGAAGAAGTAAACAACACGTAGCTCGATCAGCGCAAATTCTTCTCGCATCGGAGATTGTTACAATAGCCTGCTTTCAAGTAAATCTAAATCACTTACCCTATATCCGTCAGTATTATCACTCATACGTCGTCTGGTTAAGGTTAGGCAGTACCACGGACTAGTAACATCGGTGAGAATATGATACTCTTAATGTTAATGTAAACCAAACCCAAAGTTCAACTATACGGAAACAGTCAAGTAATCTGTGAACATGTCTTAGTTAAATTTGTTCATAAATCGTATTTCTCGATCTGACTAAATAGAATTTAGCAGTGTTTGTGAACACAAGATAGTTCGTATTTGTTTTCAAAACAAGACACAACTAAAAATGTTTGCTCGTTCCAGGAAATCTGAATAGTTATACAGGAGACCTCTTAGAAATACGAAATATCTTATCTTATCGAAAGAAATATACTAGCTTAATTCGTAGATGTTTAGCAACTCTTGGTTTTTCAAGACAAAGTCGAAAACATTTCAATATTATCTGTTTCAAGATCAAACACATTTCTTGAACTACAGTGACTCAAGATAATATTGTATCCTATTTTCGAACATTAAACTAGATCAAGCTAAAATAGAGGTTGCCATAATTACATACCGATTATTTCGCTTTTGTTTTATTGCTGTTATTAATGTCTCGTTAATAGGGAGTGGTTCATTTTCGTTCACAAACAAATCCATGAGCTTGTTTCGATATTCATTGATTGCATCAAATTGATCTTTTACATTCTCGTGTGCCCTTTTAAAATTATCAGGATTGATTGCACCCGAAAAGAATATACCTTTCTGAAAATATGATGCAACCTTCTTGAAATGAATATCTTCAAGTAGTTCTTTTTGCCATCTTTCTCGTTGCTGTTCGTCGACCGACTCGCATCGTGTTACAATTAAACACGAATTTTTCGAAATTTCTTGTCCGAGATACTTAACCAGAAGATTTATAGATTCGATATCTTCCTGATGAATACCAGCATTAAGTGATATGCAAAAGCAAATGATATGCAATTTAGTAATCTCATGATTGATACAATCTTCGATGGTACGCATAATTGTCTTGTTGTTACGAATATCTTCTGCGTTTCTGCCATGTTCGAAAAGGCCTGGACAATCAATAATGTTCAGTACCATTTGACTGTCAGCAACGAAAAATGAATCAAACAGTGGATTTCTTGTTCCTGGCATAAGTGTTAGTTCCTCTGGCACTTCAGTAGGATTGATTAACATCTTTCGAAGAGTGGTTTTACCACTACGCGTACGACCAATCAGTAATATATTCTTGTGAATACCTCGACTTGTATGATATTTGCCAGAACTATCATATATTTTTATAAGATGTTCATGAAGTTCTTTACGCCGTTGTACTGTTGAATCGTTATTTGGATTTCTATCTGTCTACAGAACAAGCGAAAATGATTACACGCAATGCTGTGCACGAGAAAGTTCTCGTATGTACGTGAGTGTAGTCCTTAGTCTTCTCTGAAGCTACGCGCAACTTTTGAGAGTTATTTTATTACCCCTAACAGTATTATTACAAGTCAAAATAGACACAAGGGCTATCATATAACTCGACATAAATTTGCAAAGTTGCAAAACAAACAACTAATATCTTAAGAACACAGTGATACAAGAAATAAGATAATTTTTAAACATTAAAACTACAGTAATTGTATAAATTGGCTTTATAATCACGTAACATATTCTACTAGACAGTATAAAACTTAACTATTTCTTCGTATAGTTAATATAAGACAACTATAACACCAGATGCTTCTTTTGTTTTAGAATAGAACAATCTCTATCAATGGCGTTGATTGAGATAAGCAAAATGAAACTTTGTTCTAATTTAATCTGTCACAAATTAAAATTTTATCATATATTCAAAACTAATCTCAAGAAAAAAGGTATCAAAACAAAAGTAAACTTCATTTCTTTGCAACGAAATCAAAATCATGAATCATTCAATTTTATAGCAAAACAACGACACAAAACTTTCGTCTCATCAACTGAGAAACACTATGCAAACTCACTTGTAAATTCTCAAGATGAATCATCATTGATAAAAATGAGTTCATGCTGAATTAGATTTTATTAAGTCAACCTTGTTAGTGAATTATTTCCACTAATAAGATTTGATGAGTCTGATTGAATACAAAAGAACTCATGTCGCTTATTTTTTTACCAACTGCGACGCATTGATCGTAATGAAATCCACTAGTCCAAATGTGATTACTACGACGCGCATGAGTACCAATGCGCCCCATTACTCGTATTGTATGATACACCGTAAATGATATGAACCAATTCAAGTGATCCTTCCTCATTTTTAATTGGTGACATCTACATTTAATATTTAGCCACACAAAAACAGTAAAAAAGGAGGTCTCTTTCAGACTTCCGTTCATAATTAATTCATTCTACTGCAATAAATAAATAGAATGCTTATTCTATAAATAATGTTTTTCTCATTTGTTTTTCAGTTTTTTAATTTTTGTTCATTCCTATTTTTTTTGATTTTCACAATTTATTTTAATTTCGTATTTTTTTTCTAATTTTTCTAGATCTGTAATATTTCCAGTAATATTTTTTTTTGTTTTGATAATTTTTATGTTGTCAAATGTTTTTATTATAATTGTTTTAAATTAAGTTCTCAATTTTTAACGCTTTTAAATTTTTTAATTGTCAGTTTTTTTTGTATTTCATGACAAAGATCTTAATAACAAGATAACGCGACCTTTCGGTCGCTAAGCCCTCTACTGAAAGGAGCTCACTGTGTTAAAAACACAATAGTCTGACTAGTTCCAGATCTTAGATTCCATACAGTGATCTTTCTGGTGTATAATCTTTTATCAATGATCATAATGTGATTTGAATAAAAGAGGTATTACCATTCTCAGTGCGCAACTGCGCTATGACTTTGTTTCTGCCACAACTTAAGCGGCTAAATTAAAATGCAATTCAAAAGAACTATTCACCTATGTAATACACTAACTTTAACTGATGCCCATATCACGCAGCTTGTTCATCACTATGCATGTAAATGTACTTGAGTGTGAATATGGGTTTTTTTCTCTCTCAACAACCACTTAGACTCTTCATTATTCATATCAGGACACTTCCACAGTTCATTTACTGCACTTCTCCGCATCTTTTACTAAAAAACATCTTTGAAGGAATCTGGCGAAATCCTGAATATAATCCTGTTTATTCTTTAAATATCCTTCGAGCAAAAATAGTTACGTTTTCAGATAGTATTCTGAACAAATCTTGTCAAGATCCTGTCAGATCGTTCCAGGATTTCTGATGGAAAGAATAGGATAGAGCTCTGAAAGCTCTGGCTTTTACCAACAGAAAGACATTCGATAAAAATCATCAGCCTAATGCTTTCTCTTGAATGCTTTTCTTGATGTATGCTATTTGGAGGACGAGCATACTTCAGAGGCTATTTCAAATAATTCTTTTTCATTTTTTTTCTTCATCCAATGAATAGCCACAACTGAATAGACCTGATTGATATTCAATCACTCAATTCGTTTCAGCGGCCTCAAATGTTCTTTCCACAAACTTTCTATTCAGCGACCAGTCGCTCGTCGGCGTCCCTCCGAAGCGCCACTCACGACTAGCCGTTGGCATGTTGTAATGTACTTTGCTGACAGATTCTCATTTTCTACAGATTATCTTCATGATTTTGACTTCGTTTACTTGTAAACGCTGTTTCCCTGAAAACTGAATAAATGTCGCCCAATAGAATCTACTCAACGACGTGACTGAGAGTCCAATTTTCTCATTGTTCCGCTCATCTAAAACACCGTTACGGCTGAAAAAATCGAACGGTAGAAAGCTAGTCTAAGGATCTGAGGCATGTGAAACATTGTTTCGAAAATCTTTTTATTCAGCGACCAGTCTTTTGTGTACTGTTCTAATAGGTCATCATTAGCTACACAAAATCTACCCGATTTTCGTTCCCATTATTGCAAAAGAAAATATATCCTTAATTACAGAAAAATCTTAGATAAAACTTCTGAGCACAAGCCTTTATTGTGAACGATTCTGATTTCAC